GGAGGGAGAGGGCATGGATAAAGTGAATGTGTTTAGATGTTTGCAAAATGGACGTATCAGCAGACAGTTTTGTGAAGTATGAGATGTCATTGAATAGGTGAATAGAGAAGGTTAGGTAGTGTGTTTTAAGACATATATGTAAGAAAGATATTTATGGAAGCAATAAGTAATTTGTACCAGAGTACAGTGGCACCAACACTTTTATGTGTGAGGCACAGCCTTTAAAAATTGCAGCAAGGAGGAAGCTAGAGGCAGTGGGAAATGTCATGTTTGAGAGCAGTGTATGGTGTGAATATGCAGATAATTGTATAAATATTAGAAGAGAGGTGGGGCTTTTACAGAAGATGAAGCATAATAGGATGACCAAAAGGATGTACAAGTCTGAGGCAAAGTAAAAGGACACAAGTGCAACTAATGTGACACTTTATTGTGGCAACGTTTCGCTCTCCAGGAGCTTTGTCAAGCCAATACAGACAATACATGGACACAGAGGGTATATATAGGCTCAGAGTGAGGTGCAATACTAGTGGTAGTGGTAGTAGTAGTAGTAATAATACAATATGGTAGAGCAATTAATTCGTACATGAGTAAAAGGATATAAAAGCTATTACTTGGGTAACATAAAAATAGGTTGGACAAATATAGACTGGATAGAGGCTGCCTGTTTCAGTGTTCACTCTGTAATGTGCTTTGTGTAGTATAACAGGAGAGACTATGTGATGGCAGGGTTTATTGTTTTCAGGAGGATTCTTGCTAAGACTTCAGAGATGGTGAAGCTACCGTTGTTGTGTTTAATTGTATTTGAAACAGCGATCAGTGCTGATTCGAATACAGTTAAACAAAACAACGGCAGCTTCACCATCTCTGAAGTCTTAGCAAGAATCCTCCTGAAAACAATAAACCCTGCCATCACATAGTCTCTCCTGTTATACTACACAAAGCACATTACAGAGTGAACACTGAAACAGGCAGCCTCTATCCAGTCTATATTTGTCCAACCTATTTTTATGTTACCCAAGTAATAGCTTTTATATCCTTTTACTCATTTTTTTTTTTTTATTATCACACCGGCCGATTCCCACCAAGGCAGGGTGGCCCGAAAAAGAAAAACTTTCACCATCATTCACTCCATCACTGTCTTGCCAGAAGGGTGCTTTACACTACAGTTTTTAAACTGCAACATTAACACCCCTCCTTCAGAGTGCAGGCACTGTACTTCCCATCTCCAGGACTCAAGTCCGGCCTGCCGGTTTCCCTGAATCCCTTCATAAATGTTACTTTGCTCACACTCCAACAGCACGTCAAGTATTAAAAACCATTTGTCTCCATTCACTCCTATCAAACACGCTCAAGCATGCCTGCTGGAAGTCCAAGCCCCTCGCACACAAAACCTCCTTTACCCCTCCCTCCAACCCTTCCTAGGCCGACCCCTACCCCGCCTTCCTTCCACTACAGACTGATACACTCTTGAAGTCATTCTGTTTCGCTCCATTCTCTCTACATGTCCGAACCACCTCAACAACCCTTCCTCAGCCCTCTGGACAACAGTTTTGGTAATCCCGCACCTCCTCCTAACTTCCAAACTACGAATTCTCTGCATTATATTCACACCACACATTGCCCTCAGACATGACATCTCCACTGCCTCCAGCCTTCTCCTCGCTGCAACATTCATCACCCACGCTTCACACCCATATAAGAGCGTTGGTAAAACTATACTCTCATACATTCCCCTCTTTGCCTCCAAGGACAAAGTTCTTTGTCTCCACAGACTCCTAAGTGCACCACTCACTCTTTTTCCCTCATCAATTCTATGATTCACCTCATCTTTCATAGACCCATCCGCTGACACGTCCACTCCCAAATATCTGAATACGTTCACCTCCTCCATACTCTCTCCCTCCAATCTGATATTCAATCTTTCATCACCTAATCTTTTTGTTATCCTCATAACCTTACTCTTTCCTGTATTCACCTTTAATTTTCTTCTTTTGCACACCCTACCAAATTCATCCACCAATCTCTGCAACTTCTCTTCAGAATCTCCCAAGAGCACAGTGTCATCAGCAAAGAGCAGCTGTGACAACTCCCACTTTGTGTGTGATTCTTTATCTTTTAACTCCACGCCTCTTGCCAAGACCCTCGCATTTACTTCTCTTACAACCCCATCTATAAATATATTAAACAACCACGGTGACATCACACATCCTTGTCTAAGGCCTACTTTTACTGGGAAAAAATTTCCCTCTTTCCTACATACTCTAACTTGAGCCTTTTACTCATGTACGAAGTAATTGCTCTAACACATTGTGCTGCTGCTGCTGCTGTTTCTGCTGCTGCTGCTGTTTCTGCTGCTGCTGCTGTTTCTGCTGGTGGTGGTGGTGGTGGTGGTGCTGCTGGTGGTGGTGGTGGTGGTGGTGCTGGTGCTGGTGCTGCTGCTGGTGGTGGTGGTGGTGCTGCTGCTGGTGCTGCTGCTGGTGCTGCTGCTGGTGCTGCTGCTGGTGCTGCTGCTGTTGTTGTTGTTGTTCATCCTCCTCTATATACCCTCTGTGTCCATGTATTGTCTGTAATGGCTTGATAAAGCTCCTGGAGAGCAAAACGTTGCCACAATAAAATGTCACATTAGTTGCACTTGTGTCCTTTTACTTTACATATTGTCGGTAATTCTACCAACTTTATTACAAGTCTGAGGCACAAGGAAGGTGTAGGTATCCTAGAAAGTGTTGGAGAAAAGGGGTAAAGGATCTTGAGTGCTAGGGGTTTGACCATCTAGCAGGTTTGTGCGAGTGTTGTTCATCTGGAGTGAGTGGAGATAAGGTTTTTTGTAACTTGATGTGCTGTTGTATTGAGAGGAAGGTTAGATTTATGAAGGGATTCAGGGATACCAGTTAGATGAACTTGAATCCTCGAGGTGGAAAGTACAGTGCCTTCACTCTGGAGGAGGGGGTTGGGGATGTTTCAATTCAGAAGGTCATTTGAATTGTGATGTCTGCACAAATTTGGCAAGATAAGTTATTAAATGAATGGTGATTAATGTGTTTCCAGTTTTGAGTTACCCTACCTTAGTGGAAGACTTTGTGTGTTGAAAAACTGATATTTTCTGTATTAGAACACCTATTTAATCATGTTAGCAGTAAGTTTTTTAATAATACTTGCAAATTGATAATTTTACAAATATTTGTGTTGTGCTTTTTAAATTATACAAATAAAAATCAGTCAATGAGGGTATTTTTAATGCTATCAGCCTTCATAATTTTTGTTTTATGTCTGGAAGCCCTTGTATAAATCTTCTTTTGGACATTATTTTGTCTCCATATTTTTTCTAGGTTCAAACATTACAGATGCTGCATCTTATAATTTGGGCCCAATATGCAGCAATTTTTTTTATTATTATAGCATTTCTCCATGTCAAGAGTGCCTTTTTAAAACTTGCTAGTGTAACCGTTCATGATTTTCATCACAACCCTACAGCATTAATGACCCTCAGATTCTGTGTTCAATGTTTCTAATTTCATTATGCTATAAACTCCTTTTAAAAGACATTTGCAAGTAAATGAAATTGTGGTGGATCGAGGTGATATTTTTTCCATGATTGTAATAGCAACGGGAAATTCTGTAGCCAATGGATTTAGTCTTTCTCAATCAGTTGACCTGGTGGATTTTATCCCATATTTCCAGAGTCCATTAAAACAAGTCGGCCGTCTCCCACCGAGGCAGGGTGACCCAAAAAAGAAAGAAAATCCCCAAAAAGAAAATACTTTCATCATCATTCAACACTTTCACCACACACACACATTATCACTGCTTTTGCAGAGGTGCTCAGAATACAACAGTTTAGAAGCATATACGTATAAAGATACACAACATATCCCTCCAAACTGCCAATATCCCAAACCCCTCCTTTAAAGTGCAGGCATTGTACTTCCCATTTCCAGGACTCAAGTCCGACTATATGAAAATAACCGGTTTCCCTGAATCCCTTCACTAAATATTACCCTGCTCACACTCCAACAGATCGTCACGTCCCAAGTATCATTCGTCTCCATTCACTCCTATCTAACATGCTCATGCACGCTTGCTGGAAGTCCAAGCCCCTTGCCCACAAAACCTCCTTTACTGTTTATTCATAATGTGCCCTGTTACTGCTTTCTCCCATTGCATTACATGGTACCTACATTAAATGTTGTCTTCCTTTCGTCACTCCATTTGGTCTCTGATTGTCATGAGTAGTCATCATCATGTTTATTACTTTGAAGGTTTATTCACATTAGCTGCTTTATTCAGTTTTTTCACTCAGTGGTCTGTGGTGGTGATCCTCTGGTTGGCTTGCCAAGCATCTCGCGTAATTCATTTATTTTTTTTTTATCATTGGAGGATTTTTCACTTTAATTCTGCACAAGGCTAAAATAAAATTGCCCTTGTTCTTTATGTAATCCTACTTGCACACCCATGTGATTATTCCATTATCATTATAACATTTAAAAATGAGCACTTACCCATGTACAAGTTAGAATTTTTTTTTTTTTTTTTTTTTCCTCCCATTGGCCATCTCCCACCATGGGAGGTTATTCTTAAAGGAACATTCACTAGTGTTCACTTTGACTGTTCAAATTTTGCTGTTTGTCTCCTAAATACCATGTTGCAAATGCCTTGCCATTTTCAAATGCAGTTTCTTTGTCACTATTGCTTTCCATTCTCAGCTTAAAAACTATTCACTTGCATTAACTTATGTCTCTAAACTTGACCTAATTCCCCCAAAATATGACAAATACATTTGCACCCACTCTGGGTAGCCAGCACTAGTGCCATTTTGTGCTAGTGATAATTATTTAATGATACTCAAGGTATAGTTATAAGGGCATATGGGCTGTAAGTAATGTGAGGTAACTGGTCATCAGATTATTTCAGTTTTAATGACTATAAAATAATCTTTTGCAGTTAGTCACAAACAATGATAACTCATGCAATAATGATTACTATAAATATTTTTCCATTTTTCAGAATTCTTTTAATAATTTGAATAGTTCCTGGAATAATTCCATGAATACTTCATTCACAACCCCAGGTGGAACTTTTTATAAAAAAGTAAGTCATGTTGAGTATATTTGTGAAAATATTGAGGTGTTTTGGAAAGTTTCCAAAGAATTTCTAATTTTGTATTTAATCAACATTTTTTTCCTTTTTTTGTTGGAACAGAACGAACCATATAGGAGAGTACGAGCTGAAGAAGTAGATGTCGACTACAAGTTTGACAATTCTTTCAAAGCTAAGGTAATGATTGTGGCTGCCCATTCTATTTGCATTTTCTTTCTTTATAGGATGAGGAGGAAAGCGAAGGCATCACCAACCAAAATTCATTCCGTGCTGGCCTGGGCTTCAAAGGAAAAGATGACTCAAGGGGAGGCTCTAGGGGTGACAGGGGAAGATTTAGAAATGATGGTGGCAATCAAAGGGATGGTTTCAGAGGAGGAAGAGGGGGATTTCAAAGAGATAATGGAGATGGAGGATTTCGAGGTAGAGGTGGAGGTTTCAGGGGCAATCGAGGAGGCTTTCGAAATGGTGAGGGCGGCGGTGATAGTGAAGACAGAGGTTTCTCTTCAAGAGGTCGTGGTGAGTTTGGCAGGGGGCCTAGGGGAGGTAGAGGTCGTTTCAAAAGTAATGAAGAAAATGACAATTTCAAAGGGGGATTAAATAGAAGTGAAGATGGTGATGGCGATGATCAGAAGGGATTTTCCCCTCATGGTCGTGGGGGATTTGGTGGTGGGTTCAGAGGTGGAGATAGAGGAGGTTTCAGAGGTGGGGATAGAGGAGGCTTCAGAGGTGGGGATAGAGGAAGCTTCAGGGGTGGGGATAGAGGGGGCTTCAGGGGTGGGGATAGAGGAGGCTTCAGGGGAGGACGAGGAGGCAGAGATGGAGAATTCCCTAGAGGAAGGGGAGGATTTATGGGGGGTTATGGCAAGAGCCCAGGTCTTGGAATGGATGGTGCTGGTGAGAACAAGAGGATCACTTTTGATGACTAGACAGCAGAAAGAAAATAGTAAGTTGTGCTATTTCTGTATCCCAGACTTTTTAGAAAGTTGCTGAATTTCTTGAAAGATTAAATTAGTGCATAGTTGAGAATAAAATGTCCCTTAAACTTATTGCCAAACTTAAAATGTTTATTCTATTGACACTATCCAATAGATATACATTTTCCACATGGAAAAAATATTGACTTAGATTTTTTAAATTTATTTTAATTGCAAAACATTTTTGTGCAGTTTCATATAGTTGTCTTCAGCTCATCTGTCACTTGCTTCCAAAATCTGCATTTGTCATTATGAAACTGTTCCCATATTTTCAGTGATACTTATTTTTAGAATCTTGAGTTTAGTAGAGTTGATATTACAAGGGTGAGTGTCAGATGCAAACACTATAGGCCCATTTACAGAATTTAAACTATAATTCCCCATTATCTTGAGAGATAAATGCTTTTTGATTTCTTAAGCATTACTATATTTAAGTAATGCAGTACTGGTATCTTATCTACAGCAAGGTGCACAAGGATCTTGGGGTGAGCGAGCGTACAGAGATCTCAAGGAAACTCGTGGAAAGGGCTACCGTCAAGAGAAGAACAAAAAGAAGAAGGGATCATACAGAGGTGGTGCTTTAGATTTTGGTGTCAATTCTGTCAAGTTTGACTCAGATTAATGATCATAAAACTCTTGATTAATGATCAGTAAGGTAATATACAGTATCTATGTGAAAAACACCTGACATTTAAAATACTAGTGAAGTGCTCACTCCATACTATGGGGCAGTTTTGAAAATGTACATTTGTTTGTCATTGTGATGGTGTTATTCTAGTTTTGTGATGCTTTGACACTTCCTTCATAGTGCAATTCATACATGAATATGTTGTGTAATCAGTGTTGAACTGAAGATTATTTTAATGAACAGTACGTGCTCATGGTTTTTGTAGGTTGGAGTTTAAGCGCCAAACCCTCAGGGTCTATATAGTTCTTTACTTAGTGATCTATCAAGGGTGTGCATGTTATGTCATGTATGAAGCACAGTTCCTGATAACACAAATAAGAAGGCATTTGTTTTTCATTATGCAGTAGTGTATGATCCCTATGGGTTTAGCACTTCCCCCACAATAATAATTTACATATAACTAAGATTAAATCATTTTAAAAGTTGTTTTTATATGCCAGTAAGTTTTGGTAAGGGTGTCTATAAGATGTGCAGTATACAAGTGCTATTTAATGACTCCATATAGACTGGTAATCGAATGATTATGCACACAATTTGTTTATTTTTGTTGCTTTATAGATCTGACCAACTAAATTGCTGGTTTTATTTGATATAAAACTCGAAAGCAGGGATGGTGTTACTTGAATTCATAGTATTTATGTGGGTTCAAATGCCCTCTTGGTTTAATTTCATAATTAGAATGAAATCATGATTTGAACACCTAGTATATTTATTTTTTCCAGTGAAAATTTCCATAAGGTTACTCCATGGGGAAAGCAGGAAAAAAAAAAAAACTATGGACAGTTGGGTTTTGTATATTTTGTAATTATTCTTAGTATTGTTAAAAAAGTGCAGTTTTTCACTCGACATACATGACATTAGCAAAATATCCCTAACTACTTGTACCACAAGACTGTATACAAAGATCAGGCTATCTTACTCTAGGTTACCTAGTACTGATAGGTAGTGGCTTCACATGGTTCATTCGGTTCTTGTGAAGGATGTGTTTCTCGAGTAGTTTTATAACAAAATAAACATATTGTGTATGAGTGTTATAAAGCATTGTATGAAAGTACTATTGGAATACATTTGAGGTATTTTTTAATAAATAATTAAATTTTATATATTTATTGCCCCGAACAGTAGTAATGGTTCCAATAAGCAGGAGATAGGATAGTGGTGAAGCATTGGTCCCAAGAGTGAACATTTCCTGTATTTATAATAATGAAGCACTGCAAGATTACTGTAGGCATTTAAAAGGAGAAAAAAATTGCCTAGAATTTCTGGCCATGTTTGGTAGCAGATATATGTGCCCATATTAACGTACTGTCATCCTGTCAGATGACAGGAAAGGCTGATCATCAAACAAGACCTCTTCAAGGGGGGCTCCTTGCTGCGGTGAAGAGGCTCTTAATCTGAGGAATCAGACCTGTCGGTCTCCTTCCTCAGACCGAACCTAATTACCCCCAATCCCCCCCTCCCTATCCTCCCCTTTTTCCTTTCCTCCTCCTCTCCACCCCTCCCTTTTGCCCTTCCTCTTTTTGGCCTTTGGGATTTCTCCCACAGGCGCGCTAGTTCCTAGGTAGGGGAAAGGATACCAGGGTCCATCCCATTCCGTTGAGGTTCTTGGTGGTGGCGTAGTTTGCCGTGGAATCTGGATCGCCTGGGGATGTCCTGATCCCTCTCCGGTACCCCGGAGTAGCTTTGGGTGTCTTTCGGGCGACGGGTGTATCTCTGGAAGCCACCTTTCGGATTCCGGGGGTGGTGGCCGAAGGAGGTATGCTATGTGGCGGATATCCGGCCACCCTCTCTTTTGTCCACCGAGGTAGCTCGGCAGATGTGAGGTTGCTATCCCGGATTGCTGGTTTACTGGCATGAAGGGTAGGGTATGGCACGGGTTCCATGCTGCATCTGCGCTACTAAGGTCCTCTTGGGTGCGGAGGGAGATTTCCAGCCCCTTCATTCCTCCTGGGAACTATTCCTCCCCGCTCTCCCCTTTATTTTTTTGTTTTTATTTTCTTTTTTCTTTTTTTTCTTAAAAACAAAAAGCAAAGGAGTAACCTAACCATGGAGAACCCAATCCATAAACCGGGCCCCTTCTTGATACCGCACCCCATTCTGACCCTGCCTTGTTTTTGGACCACTCTTCGGACACTCCTGATGCCCCTGTACCTCTTGCTGGTGCTGTTTCCTCACCCGCTTCAGGTACCGGGGCCTCGACTGACTCCTTCGATTTGTCTAACCTCCGCTCTCCTTTGACTATGCTTCCGGCCTCTCCCTCTACGGTATGGCAATTTTCGAATCGCCAGCCCATTTCACGCCGGACCAACTCCGGTCCTATTCCAAAACGCCAACGTCAATCTCCTGATGATGCTCCTTCGTTACCTTCCCATTCTACTCGGAAAAGACCGACACGTCATGCACTCCCTCTCCACACTCAGTTTTGGACCACACAATGGACTAAATTCTTTACTTTAAGACCGACTTCTTCTGCCTATCTTTCTGACCATAGTATTGGCAAAGCGCTCCTGCGTCATGTTGGTAGAGATATTTCATTTCATGCTCTCAAGAGCGGTACGCGCATCGTCACTATCCAGAATGCTACCCAAGCTCATGATCTTTCTCTCCTTTCGAATATCGATACTACTACTATCACTATTGAAAAACATCTTTCTCTCAGTTCTTGTAGTGGTACTGTCATTCTGCCCCATACCATAGTCCAACAGAATTTCCAATCATGTGGCAATGACATTTTTGAACAGCTGGAACTCCAGGATCTCCCAATCCTCAAAGTAGACACTTATGTCCTTCCTGCCCGTGGGCGGAGACGTTACCCTTGCAATGTGGCTTGTTTAACTTTTGACAGCCGATAACTCCCGTCCTCTGTATATGTCGCGGGACATCGGTTACAAGTTCGAAAGGTGATACCTACACCGCAACAGTGTAGAAATTGCTGCCGTTTTGGTCACCCAGCGAAATATTGCAGATCTATAGCCGAATGCCCAGTCTGTGGTGCCGACGACCATTCTAATACATCTTGCAGTCAACCTCCATCTTCCCTTAATTGTAATGAAGCTCACCCTTCGTACTCCCGCCATTGCCAAGTCTACTTAAATGAACGTGCAATCCGTTGCCTCAGGCAGAAGGTCTCCCTTATGCTATGGCAGTTACTCATCTCCGCCTTCACGGGAGACTACCCCGTGTTTCTTATTCTCGTGTTTCAAACCATCCCCCCACTTCTGGGGTCCCATCTTCTGCAGCCTCCTCTGTTGTTACCCTTCCCATGGCCACTCTGGCATCTAATCCTTTTGCTGTCCTTGGCTCTGACGTCCCGACTACAACTCAGTCTGTTCTCACATCTTCGCGTCCTTCCTCACAAGCCCCAGTATCGACAAGACCTCGTACGACACCTAATACCAATCGCCCCTCTACTTCTCAGAAGTCCAAAAAATCCACATTGCTCAAATCTTCTTTGCCCCTTCCTTCCCTTCTTCCACCTCCACACTTTACCTTTCCAGTCTCTGTGCCTAGTTCTTCCCCTCTCTCTGGCTCTATTACAAGTGTGGAGATTCACCCTCCTCCTCGTTACTATGCCTTCCACCCCCGTCCCCTCCCAAGTTTCTCCCTCTTCTGCCACTTCCCAGGTTTCTGCCTCTTCTGTCCCCCCCACACTTCATCTCCAGTCCCTTACACTCTTTCGTCCCCTCTACTTTGGTGCAGTCCATTACTGTCCCAATTTACTCACCCTCCCCCTTCTATCTCCCAATATGGTCTCCCATACATCTTTGAATTCAGAAACACTTGAAGCCATTTCAGAATATATTGCAGAGACTAAACCCTTTAATGGACACTGATTCACTTCCTGTTCCTTCTCTTCCCTCTCCTCCTCCTTCACAACCCCATTCTTCGCAACGCTCCGTTCCTTCGCTGCTTGAACGTCTTCCAATGCCACCACACGTTGACTTTCCTAACCCCTCTAGTCCGTAGGTGCCTTTCCCTACGGATTCCTGGTATTTTCTTCATCGCCAATCATGGCCTATTTACAGTGGAATATCCGCGGCCTCAGGGGTGATCGGGGTGAGCTTCAGGTGTTGCTTTCCAGGTTTTCCCCTGTTGGTGCTTGCTTACAAGAACCAAAATTACACTCAGCTGTTTTCCAACCTATCTCAGGCTATAATTTATTGTATTCTTCGGATCCTTTCTCAGATGGGACCTTTAATGAAAGTGCCCTTCTTCTACGCAATGATATTCCGTACTGTCAATTATTTGTCCATACCTCGCTGCATTACACTGCAGCCCGTATCCACTTGAATAAGTGGTTTACAATATGTTCTTTATATATCTCTCCTTCTCGAGCATTTTCTATCCCAGTCTTTGCCTTTCTTGTTTCATCCTTACCACCACCACTTCTGTTACTTGGTGATTTTAACACCCACCATTTCCTCTGGAGGGGTCTCATTGTGACTCACGTGGCATCCAGTTGGAGGCTTTTCTCGCCTCTCACCCCCTCCATGTTTTAAATACGGGTACTCCCACCCATTTTGATCCTCGTACTCATACTCTCTCTTGCATCGATCTATCAGTCTGCTCTTCCTCCACTGCACTAGACTTCACCTGGTCTGTTCTACCGGACTTACATGACAGCGATCATTTTCCAATCATTCTTACTTCTCCTTCATATTCACCACCTTTCCGTAGCCCTCGCTGGCAATTTGATCAGGCAAATTGGGACCTTTACTCGCAGCTCACTGCTTTTAGTGAGGTTCCTTCTTCATCCTCCATTGATGAGCTCCTACACCTCTTCTCGACGTCAGTTTATATATATACCGCAGCTTCTCATTCTATACCCCAAACCTCAGGCAAGCATTCTCAGAAGTGCGTGCCTTGGTGGTCTCCTGCTTGTGCTCGTGCAGTACGTTTGAAACTCGCTGCATGGGGCAGGTACCGATACAATAGAACCAATGAGAGACTTCTTGATTTTAAGCAGAAGCGTGCGATCGCTCGCCGTGTCATCCGTGATGCTAAACGCACTTGCTGGCGAGACTATGTTTCCACCATCACCTCTGCTTCCTCTATGAGTGCAGTCTGGAAAAAAGTGAGGAAATTGAGTGGTAAATACTCTCCTGACCCGGCTCCTGTTCTACGGGTCACCGGTATTGATGTAGCAAACCCTCTTGACGTTGCCATTGAAATTGGCACTCATCTGGTTCGTATTTCCCGGGGGCTCCATCTATGCCCCTTGTTTCTTTCCTCAAAGTCTGCCAGAGAGTAGTACCTTGGACTTTTCTTCTCTCAGAGAAGAACAGTATAATGTTGCCTTTTACACTTCAGGACTGGAGGCAACACTCTCAGCTCGCCGATCATCGGCAGCTGGACCTGACAACATTCATATTCGTATGTTACAACATTTACATCAGTCAGCCCTTGTAGTCCTCTTACACCTCTTCAATCTTATTTGGGCACAAGGCGTTCTTCCCCAGCTGTGGAAATCTGCCATTGTTCTCCCTTTCCACAAGCCGGGTACTACAGGACATGATGCTCCACTATCGTCCCATCGCTCTTACTAGTGCAGTTTGCAAAGTGATGGAACGTCTGGTAAATCGCTGTTTAATGTGGTATTTAGAGACACACAACAGTCTCTCCGCTAGTCAATATGGCTTTCGTAAGGGCCGTTCTACCATAGACCCCATACTACGCTTGGATACGTATGTTCGTAATGCCTTTGCAAATAATCACTCGGTTATTGCCATATTTTTTGACCTTGAGAAGGCATATGACGCAACTTGGAGGTATATCTTGGCCCAAGTGCACTCCTTAGGCCTCCGAGGCAATCTACCATCCTTCCTTAAGAACTTTTTAACTGACAGACACTTCCGTGTTAGTCGATGTACTTTCCCCGGACTTTGTCCAAGCTGAAGGTGTCCCTCAGGGATGTGTTCTGAGCACAACACTTTTTCTCCTTGCTATAAATGATTTGGCCTCTGTTCTTCCACCCAATATTTGGTCATCACTCTATGTTGATGACTTCGCTATTGCTTGTGCAGGCGCTGACTGTCATCTCATTGCAGTTTCTCTCCAGCATGCGGTCGACCGTGTTTCCACTTGGGCCACCACGCATGGGT